AATGAGCAACAATATATAAGTGCAAATGACAAGTCTCGGTTAGCCTAACGCAGTACACGTAGCAAGGTGTGTGTGTGTATATATATATATATATATATATATATACACAAACAAAGAAAAACAAGTAGAATAGAAAGCTAGAGTTTTTTTTTTTTTTTTTTAAATAAAAAAAAAAAAAAAAAAAAAAAAAGATTTTCCCTGAAGCCTGAATAAATCCATTGTGCACCTTTAATGACAAACATGGACAAATCCAGTGATTATATTATCTTCAAAAGCACTTGTTGTCCCAATCTGGTATCTTGTAAGCATGACTTTGTTTTTAGACACACTGTTTAAAAAAAAAGTTTGCCTTTATTCCCAAAAGTTGTGTAAACTCAGTGAGATTAGAGTTTACCAGATGAAGTGAGTACTTTTGTCTTGACAGTCAGCAAATGAGCATAATACCTTTTACAACTGGAAATTTAATGAACATTTTTATCTTTTTTCTCCAAAATTAGTTTGACATCCTGCGTTAAAGACCCCTGTATTACTGAATAACATAGGTGTGTGTCACTCACAGGGCACGGCGCGCAGGTAGAGGTTCTCTCGTATGACCTGTTGGAGTTGGCTGTCCATGGATCCGGGTGTAAAACACTTGCTCAGGTAAAGTCTCAGATCCTTACAGAGAGTCGAGCCTACAGATTACAAACAGAACGCATGAGCAAGAATGAGATGGAGAGATCTGAAACCACTTTTTAATAACAGCACTGTTGCCAAACTCACAAATAGAACACTGCTGTCACCATGGAAATATGAGAAAAACGGTGAACTGGCAAAGTGAAACTGTCAAAGACGCTGTTCTGAAAATAAACAAACTGAAATCCACCTTAAAAAAAGATATGGGTAAAACGGTCTCTCACCCTGATTTCAATCCTAATACCACACACCCCGGGTTACCACAGTAGCACCTCAGACCTCACACGCACGCTGAGACCGCACTGCAACTGCAGGAGTCTCTAAGGTCAGTGTGCTGTTGTCACAAACAAGCACTGCGGAGCACCTAACGACGACCTATCCTCCCCACTCGGCTTCTCTGTATTGATTTTTGCACTTAATATAATCCGGTGGTCCTTTCCGCACACAATCTCAACACATGGACTCCTCAAGGACTCATGCGAAAGGTAGGATGAGTCATTTCCCGCTGATCTATTCATTTTTTAAAGTGCGTTATGACCTTAGATGACAGCCAGCTTCCTTTCACGCTGGATATTGATGGTCTTTATACATTGTGGACGGGGATTGCCCGTCCTGTTACTCGCCGAAACGGGGCTCCACTCCCCCACGCTGACAGCGATCAATCGGGCCAACCAGGGCAGAATTCCGGAGAGGTTAAGTAATAGAGTGCAGGATATCACATCCACTAAATGTCTGACACTGAACTGTGGGAAGGTGGAGACCTGGCGTAAGTATTGCAATTGCATATCAGGATCTTTTACATGATGTTATTAAGAAAAATACTGTGTAATTCAAGAGAGTAAGAGTAATCTGAGTTTCTGTCTGAACTAATCACAACAGCAACCAGCAATACTACATTTTGTCAGTAATTTTTCTGTCATCAAAAACTCACTGGACCAAAAGCCAATGAGTTAAACATTATACAGGTTCCGAAACATTGGATAGGCCCCTAAAGTTCTATAAGGAAATAAAAAAGGATGCCAACTGAAGGAACAAAACAGATGTTATAAAAATACTTTATGTGGTATGCGTTTTATGCTTCTTATTCATGAACTTTTCTGATTGGCTGAGATATGTTACATCACACAGCATTTCCACTTCTAAGTGGTGGACAGAGTGAAAATAAATAAATAAATAATCACTTAGTTGGAAATTGTTGCATTGCATCCTGGTTGTAATGTGTAAATGTATGTGTAAACATGGTGGAAATGTACAAAAATATTCAAAGGCTTGAGGTCAGTAAAACATTTTAATGCTTTTGAAAGTCTCTATGCTTTCCAAGGCTGCAATTATTTGATCAAAATCAGTAATATTGTTAAAACAGTAATATTGTGAATGATTACACAATTTAAAATAATTGTTTTAATGTATATTAAAATGTAATTTTTTATCTGATGGCAAAGATGAATTAGCAGCCATTACTACGGTCTTCAGTGTCACAAGATCCCTTAAAATAATGTCTAATATGCTGCACTAGTGCTCTTATTATTAATAATAAAAACAAGATTTTGATGAATATAATGCTCAAAAGAACATTTATTAGAAATCCTTTGTAACTTTATAAATGTATTTACTGTCAAATAAATTCTTACTGACCCTAAACCTTTGAACGGTAGTGTATCATCAATTCAGCAGAATTTAAAATTTTATAAAAAAAAATAATAATAAAAAAAAAATTAAGTATTCTTTTTCAGCCAGTTTCTACTTTTGTTATTTCCATAAATAACTAGGCCTATTCTACTTCCAAAAATTCTAGTTACTAAACCAAGCAGCAAAGTTGCTATTCTCAACCATTCAGTCCTTAAATCATCTAAAACCATCAGTGATAGTTTTGTTGTGTAATTTAATTAATACAAAAGCTTTTAGAAGCTTTAAGCTTTTTTCCTCACATAAGAAAGCATTATTTGACACTCTTGTTACAGTTGTTCACAACATTGTGTTGACAAATCTGAGAGACTGAAATGCCTTCATTAAGCATTCATTTATGGTGTCAAGAGCAACCAAAAATTCTTAACACTTCCTTGTGTAGAAGCTAGACATGAATATAGTAAATCAAATCCCCATGGAGCATCTTGAACTGACGTATTCAGGCAGGTTAGATTAGGATAATACAATCCTCAGGCAAAATTATACTAGCGGGTGACATGTCAACACTGTGACCTACTCAGGGCTATATATTGTCAGCAGATATAAAGCTCTCACACAACCCAAGTATTTCATTTAATAAGTGCAACAAAATGCAGACAAAACCTCCCAAAATAACATGATAGGGTGTGTAGCAGTTTTGTCAGTTTTGTCAGGAAAGACCTGGGCTAGAAACGAAAAGGTCACAGGTTTAACCCCAGGCAGAGGTGACCCATGACCCAGAAAATTACTGATATGCTCCATCTTCAGAAAGTTCACAGTGGGTCAGAGGGCCTACAAGGAGATGGCATATTTCACCTAAAAAGAACATTGTCAACATTTACTCGCGCTCAAACTTTGTTTTCTTTTTTCCGTGGATAACAAAAAGTGAATTTCTAAAGAATATCCTGACCACACTTTCCAGTATAATGAAAGTAAATAGAGACTGAGGCCAAAATTGTTGTCCAAAATGACAAAAATGCACCATAAAAATAGCATAAAAGTAGTCCATACCACATTTGTACTACATTCCGAGTGTTCTGGAGCAATAAAAAAGCTTTATGATAGAAATTAAAGTCAATATTGACTGATATCTTGACACCAGTCCTAGCTCTCCTTGTTCATGAGAGAAATACCAATGTTCGATTCATGAATTAATTGTTCTTTTTTGTCAGACCTTTTCTTTGAATCATTTGTTTATGAACTGGACTCACGCATTCATAAGGAATATAGCGCACAAATTGAATGACCAATTTTATAGTATTTTTTGGAATCTTCTCTCTCAATTTGTAGTTTGACAGCCTTAGTCCCCTTTCAGTTTTATTACATTAAAGAAAAAAGGTCAAGAATATTCTTCATAATTTCTTCTTTTCCACAGAAGACAGTCATAGAGGTTTGAAATGACATGATGGTGAGGAAATGACGATCTTGTTCAAAAGAATATTCAGGAATTCTTCTCTTTGCATGGACCTTCTCTTATCTAATGCAAAGTAGGAGTTGGATCAGGCAACTTATAGTGCCTAATCATACACCAGTCAAATTATTCTAATTGATAAATAGAGTACCTGGTAATACGGTTTTGATCCGAATTGGATGTGGACATGAGTTCAGAACCCCTCTCACATCTCCCAAGGTCAATCCCAGGACAGGTGTACTGCCGATCTCTAGGATGATGTCACCAACAGTGGCTCCACCCCCAGGTGCTGCTGTAACAAATGGGAACTCTCCATAATCTGCACCACCTCCGATGGCCACACCAAGCTCTCCCGAGGCTCCACCCAGCGGGACAAAGCTCTCCTGCACTTTCGAACGCCAGTGCAGCTTCTTAACAGTGGCCTTAGACATGTTGACCGCGCTGAAAGAAAAATAAAGAGGAAAACATGTGCAATTTGTGTCTGCAAACACCTTAAACAAGCCTAAAATGGTTTGTTGGGCTTAGCTGATTTCCCCGCTCGGTCAGGATCGTCAGTTGATTTGAGGCACTTTTCAGCTGACCACCCAGCTAAACCAACTGAAGACCAGGCTGGACAGGTCAGAAGACCACCTTAAACTAGGGGTTTTTTTTCTACAGGGTTGCCTACAAATCAGGGTCTTCGCACAAAAAAATTGATTAAAAAATATTCAGGGTAACCAACCTATTTTGGTTTTCAAAATAGGTTAATTGAATATGAATAATTTCGGATCATTTTGAAGCCTCAAACACTTTCACTGTGTGTCATATTAATGAATGTCATAATATTGGTTTATTGGTTATAGTGACATACAGCCTTGAGCAACAGAATATATTTTCAAAATATGCATTTAAACTACACTAGTAACACTACTGAGAGTAAATGTATCCATTTCAAATAAATACTGTTCTTTTGAACACTGAAGACTTTTTCTGAAGACTTTTGTGACACTAAAGACAAGAGTAATGGCTGCTGAAAATTCAGCTTTGCTATCACAGTAATAAAAAGTTACATTTTAAAATATATCGAAAAGTTAAATTGTAATAATATTTTACAATATTTCTGTTTTTACTGTATTTTTGATTAAATAAATGCAGACTTGACGAGCAAGAGACTTCTTTTAAAAATCAAACCAACCCTAAACATTTGAACGGTAGTGTACTGTATATTAAGTAAACAAAACACAACGGAATATGTCTTTTTACGTGTAGATTTGAAGACATATTCCACTTTAACCAAAACAAAAAGGATAAAACATAGCACAAAGTCAAAGAATGAGAATATATGTCCCATAATTCTTCTAACAGGCACAAAATGAGAGGCAAGGGCCTAGTCCCAGTGGTATTCCACAAGCTAAACACATGATACGAGTCTCCAAATTGAAACAAAACAAGCAAACAGATGGTCAAAACGCAGTGGGGGATGATTCCATCCACAAACACAATTTACACGGGCTCATTAAAAATGCATTGATCTATTTCAGGTGTCAACGATTCTGCTACCGCAAATTTACACGTTTTTACCAGCAACATCGTCTGGGGCTTTCCACTAAAGATGGTAAAGTAGAAAAAAAATACATAACGAATCAGTATCTCAGAGGATCTGCCAAATTACGCATCAGGGTTGGCTGCAGAAGGCCCTCTCTCTCTTTCTCCGCATGTGTCTCCCTGTTGCTTAGCCATATAGCGACTCATATAGTCTCTATAGACATGAATCAGAAGCTAAAGACACAAAAATACAAGCAAAAATAAAACACAAATCATCTGAAAATTACATAACACACTCCAGAGTTTCTGATTACAAGCCTGCAGTGCAAAGATAACACATTAGTTAATGCATCATCTGATATACATCAGCGAGGGTGGGGGTGGCTGAGTCTTTAAATGGACAATACTAACAGAGTTATATAGTTACAGCAACACCATTGCAGTAAACTCAGGGAGGGGAGGAGAGGAGACCGTGCATTCCGGCGCTGCGGGTCTTTTCCATTACCTCACAAAGAGAGAGAGCGAGTCACCTTAAAAACTAAAAGCAAATAGTGGCGTGAGCACTTCAAATGCCCGGTATCAAAGTCCATCCAACCTGCCGCAGTGTGTTCGCAGTGTGAATGTGATATGAGAGAGTGTACAGTTTGTCGGAAAACCTCTCACGCAGGTAAAATAAGACTCAGCACTTAGGATACAAGATTAATATATAACACTTTAAATATGCATCTGGATCTTGTCTACCACTTTGTTCGCTATGTTTCTGGCATCCCTCTAGGATGATGTTTTATGTGTCACAGACATACACTCCCATACGAGGCAAGTTTCTTCAAGTATATCACTGTTGTGTGACATCTGTGTATTTTATCAAGATCTAAAGCCCTTTCCCTCTCTGATTAAATCCCGCTTGCATCCTCTGAATTACATATGCATGCTGAGTCTTCATGGGCTGCTGAGATGTTGAGAATAATTGATTAAGTACTTTGGAAAGGTGCCTAAAACTGCCACCCCATCCTACTTATGAATAAAAACTCATAACCCCAAACAAAAGAACTGTATGTATTTTTCATACCGTTCAAGAGCATTTAAGACAGACTTGCACAGAATTAATGCTTCTAATGCAATGGATGCATTTCAAAGTCATTCGAACGGCCAGCTACATTTGCATGAACAGTATCAGGAAATATTTGATATGGCGACTATGCAACATGACTACCTTTTATTTATTCATTTAGCAGATACTTTTATCCAAAGCGACTTAACTGCCAGTTAAAAGTCTTTTACATTCACAGAGGCTGCATTTATTTGATCAAAAGATGTTTCAAAAACAAACGTATTAAGCAGCATAAACATTTTTCAACATTTTTAACAATAAGAAATGTTTTTGAGCACTAAATCAGCATATTAGAAAGATTTCTGAGTGATCAAGTGACAAGGAAGACTGGCTGCTGAAAATTCAGATTTTCCATTACAGGAATTAAATATATTTGAATAGAAAAGTTATACTGATTTTTAAATAAATGCAGCCTTGGTGAGCATAAGAGACTTCTTTAGAAAACATAAAAAATTTGATTTATCTCAAACTTTTGACTAGTGTAAATGAACAACAGTATATCTAGTACATAATGCCAAGTTTTAAGTAAAAGCTGGATTAATACACAAGTAGAGCAAAAGTGGGATGTAGAAAACTTCTCACTTACAGTTTTCAGAATGTGACTTCAAACCTAAGGTTAAGGCTGTAACCTTGCCTGAACACATTGGATATTCTCATTAACTCTGAGGAAGTCTGTTCCTCCAAAGATGAAGTGCAGAGAGAAGATAAATCCTGCTGGATCTTCAGGTTAGTAGATGAACATGCTCAAATCGAGAAAAGGTTTAATTGAAAACTAAAGGTCCAGATGTCACTGGGCCAAGAAGAAAGATGTAGATCAAAGTTTTGTGGATGGCGCAGGGATCGGCTGCTGTTTGAGATTTTGTCGACATCTAATGCAGCAACTCTTAATGTCAATTACTGTTCATGCTGTGGAACAAGGCTGAAGATCAGAGAAGAATGAAATTCGATTTCTACCCCGTGTTCCCTCTCTGAAGCAAATGATTATGGGATGTCTTGATCTCATTGTACTGTAGAAATTAACATTAACATGAGCTCCCAAATTAGAGAAACACAAGACTACACATCATCACCCACTTCTGCTCTGGAATAAAGCCTTACGTGGTTTGCTCATCTTATTTAGTCTTCCAGGCTGGTCTGTTGCCTGGTTTCAGATGGGTTTGCAGCACTTTACATCTGGTCGGACCATCTTAAAGGGTTAGTTCGCCCAAACATGACAATTCTGTCATTAATTACTCACCCTCATGTCGTTTCAAACCCGTAAGACCTTCGTTCATCTTCGGAACACAAATTAAGATATTTTTGATGGAATCTGAGAGCTGTCTGCTACGAGAATAATTTTTGTGCGCAAAAGAAAAAAAAACAACAACTTTATTCAACAATTCGTCTCCTCCGTGTCACCCTGTAGCGCCATTTTGGATTTTAGATTTTTAGTTTTTGGATACGCTGTTTACATCCAGCTGATACTCTCCAAAATGGCTTGAATGGCAAAATGGTTGAATAAAGTCGTTTTTTTTTTTTCTTTTGCACACAAAAATTATTCTCGTAGCTTCGTAAAATTATGGTTGAACCCCTGATGTCACATGGATTATTTTACAGATCTCCTTGCTACGTTTCTGGACTTGGGAACATTTCAGTTGCGTTGCTGACTATATGCAGGGTCAGACAGCTCTCAGATTCCATCAAAAATATCTTCATTTGTGTTCCGAAGATGAACGAAGGTCTTACGGATTTGAAACGTCATGAGGGTGAGTAATTAATGACAGAATTTTTATTTTTGGGTGAATTAACCCTTTAAGCTAAAACCAGCAAATCAGTCTAGGCTGGTTTAAGAAGGATTACTTTAGAATGACCAGCTTGACATAGGCTTAAAATGTCTACAGAAGTTCTTTTAGATGGAAAAAGTACAGCCAAATAAAACTCTAACTTCCACAAATCAGATCCAACTAATATCGAATCACTCAGAGACATGTTTAAAATCTCTCTGCGGCATCACACTGCGGATCGCTCCTGTGTAAAGAGCCCCAGGTACATCAGTCTGCTGTTATGTGCTGAACCATTAAAGCGTCCTGGGCGATGAAGAGCCATGGGGTTTGTTATTTCTCCACATCAGCAGTCAAGGTTTCTCCTCAATAAAAACAAACAATCTGGAACTGAGAACAAACCTCTTCAGTTAAAAGAGGTCACACTAGACGTAATTCCAACATGATTCAAGTCACATTAGTTTAGGACTACAAATCCCAAGATCAAATGGAACAATTTCAGCTGCTCCTCACTTTTACGCCACTGAAAGTGTCTTTTCACTGCAAATTGGCATGTTACATGCAAGTAAAATATGTATTCTAGAGATGAAACTTTACAGCACTTGCACACGCTCATACATATGAATTCCCACAATGCACACCTGCACAGGCTCATTTGCATAACGACACTATTGGCTGTTGATTTAAGTCCATAACCTTCATGCTAGCAGCTTTTACGAGAGTAACAAGTAAATGTAACCGGAAGAGCAGAGGACAGGAGAGGAGAGGTATGAAACTGTGTAGCCTGGGGAAAGATAGAGTGAGATACAGAAGAGTGACGGAGGGAGGCAGTTCTGCAGCAGTAGCATGGCAAAGTGGTCAGTGATTGTCATTTTTACATACTTTATCATATTCAGAATGATAAAAATGTCCTTAATGTGTGTGATAATGTGAATATATGTACTAACACTTTTATCAATGTAAACCTTGGGCTTTCATGCCTTTCACCTTTGAGTGTAAGCATGTGATGACTGTAGTAGCCTACTGCTCTGTAGACCAATGTTATTTTTTTAAACATTTACTATCATATAGTTACTATTATAGTTTTACAGTAGTTTTTAAATATATTTGCCATTTTCATTGTAATTTTTGTTTTGTGTGTTTGTCATTTATTAGTTTTTTAAAATATGTCTACATAGTTTTTATTCATTTTTATTTTGAGTTATTTTAGTACATCAAATATTTAGTACATACGAAATAAAAAAGTATTCCTATTTTTTATTTTATTTCAGTTAATGTTTATTTTATTTCAAGTAACAAATGTTTTTATGGTTTTACTTTTACTATAATCATTATCCAAGACACTGATGAGCAATTTTTTTAATAATTATATTCTGTTCTGTATATTCTTTCTTATTCACAATCTCTTGCATAATTGTATCTCAATATTATTTTCTAGCTTGTCTATTGTCTACATTGTCTAGTTATTTGTCTCATATTTTTATTTTTTTCTATGTACTGGAAGCTTCAAGACCATTGTGTGTGTGTGTGTGTGTGTGTGTGTGTGTGTGTGTGAACATACTTGCCAATAAATCTCCTTCTAATTCTGTTTAACATTGGATTGTTTACTGAATGACACATTCCCTGCCAAATTCCCTCACAGAACTACCATTCCTCCTCATAACATGCCTGAGATCTCACAACCCTAATAAAACACACTGATATGCCTATGAGTGTGGCCATAAACGCTGTGGAGGGTTATGATGGTGCCGAGAGGGGCTGCATGCTGCTAGCCAATGACTGCACTGGTCATTATTTACCAGCAGAGTGGACTATGAATCCCACATCTCATCTCACATCACTGCAAACCCACAGCACGGCGAGTCGCAACTGGTCTGACACATTTTCTCAGCACCTGCTCGCTCTCGCATTACACACTCACCACTTTCTGTGTCTCTCACACACACAGAGAAAAACACCCATATTCAGTCAGGGTTACGTTGCCTCCAAACAGGAGTGCGTGAGGCCGCTGTTTTACTACGTGGACCAACAGTTCACTCACTCACGCGTTCGCGCTAATGTACTGCTATTGTTGTCCGAGAGGCGCTTTCACGCGAACATCTTTTATTAAAGACAGGAACGAGTAGCACATGTCGACTTGAAATTAATCGCGGTAGAAGATGTGATGGAGATAGTTGACACAAACAAAGCAGCTGACAAGGAGAGCGCGCACGGCGTTAAATGCTGCAAAGGCAAAGTGGCTCCCTTGGCACCAGTCGCCACGCAAGGACATAATGGTATCCGCGCGGTACACCAACAGAAATGAATGGACAAAAGCATATGGCAGTAGTATCGGATGGTCAGCCAAGCAATAATGCGGCGGTCTGTGACATACCTTCATAATTCCAGCCTTCCCCCCCGCGACGTATTGCCTTATGGCTGTAATCCTTAACAATACTCTATCAATATTGATTGCCTATTGGAGTCGCAGGTGACTGCAGATACGCTGTGTTGGAAGAGCACTACGGTTTGAGGTCCATAGCTCTGCGCTGCTGAGGATGAACTGGCCGGAGAGGGAGGACAGTATAGCATTACAGTCCCGCGCGGAAGCCTCGTGCCCTCAGGGCCGCTCAGCTAATGGAACATGGGTCAAAATTACGCTGCATTCAGTACAGCCCTGTCTTTGCAGGTTTGGCAATAAGGAAGCGAGGATAAGGCAGCCAAGCGGAGGGGAGGAGAGGAGGAGGAGGCAGGGACGGGGAGGGAACGCTGTGTGAAACAGGGACGGATCGGACCGCCTATGGATGGAGGTGATTGGACAGCGCCGAGCGAGACTGGGAATACATGAACGCGCCGTGACTCCTCACCCAAATACTTCAATCAAGAAGATGTATTTGAATTGATAATGAATAGGACTGCGTGCCTCTCATTACGCATGCGAACGTTCTGATCAAAGACACAAGGCGAGTATGGGATATAAACAGTGTTGGGGAGTAACTAGTTACATGTAACGGCGTTACGTAATTTAATTACAAAATAAACGTAACTGTAATCAGTTACAGTTACTAAGAAAAAATGTGTAATTAAATTACAGTTACTTATGAAAATGTTAACGATTACAAAGGGGATTGCATTTGAATATTTACACACATCCACATACAGATTTAATTGACTTCTTTCCCAAATTGCACCAACTACTCTGAGACATACGGCTATAATTTCCGCCATTGCGGAAAACACAAACTGGTTCATAGAATCCAGTCATAAAAACGGAATTCCTATAGCCTAACGCAGATGGAATATGCCACAGATCTCTAACAGTGTTGAGCACTACTGTAAGGTTAACCCAGCATGGTGTAAATGTTTGAAAATGATTAACAGTTGCAAATAAACATTCATTAGAACTTTAGAAAAGTAATCAAAAAGTAATCAAAAGTAATCAGTTACACTACTTTAACAAAGTAATTGAAAGAGTTACACTACTATTACATTTTAAATAGGGTAACTTGTAATCTGTAACCTATTACATTTCGAAAGTAACCTTCCCAACACTGGATATAAAATATATTTATTTTGGTGACACTCTGAAAACCCCTGAATGCTCGTCTACTGTCAACAAGTGCAAAGGAAATTCACGGACGAAGTAAGTGTTAAATAATAACACTAATTGTGCATTTTCATTCTTGGTCACAGGGTCATTCTTAAAACAAGAAAACTTTTACTCGAGTTTATTTTATTTTTTTAACCTTTGGCCAGTTAAAGGCAAAAAGGTGTGTGCACTGCAATTTTATTTTTAATTTTTCTGTTTTTATTTTTATTTGTTTGTTTGTTTGTTTATTCATTTCATTCTTGTTTAAAACGTAGCAACGTAAATGCATGCTATAAACATGAACTAAATATCATAACACAAAAAAAAACTCATTTTTAAAATAAGAATCTGTGGTTCCCACAGGGAATTCTGGGAATGCCCTAAAAGTTAAATATTACATTGATAAATAACCTACACTATCCATAAAGATCATTAAAACTTTTTAATAACAAACAAATATTTTTACAATGTAGGCTACTATTGAGTTTATCAATTATTTGGCATATTTACTTCATTTTTACAGTTAAGAATATGTTGTGATTAAAAATAAATTGTAGTGCAAAAAGCCTTCAAACTATGTAAACGGAATTTTACTGCCGGAAAATGCCGTTTGAAGCCCGTTTCCCAATGTGTAACTGCATTTATAAAAGTGCTGTATTTGTAACAAACTGTAGCTATTCTTTTTGTTCTCTCATTACGTCGATGAGCCTGTAGGTGGGCGACACTCTTGGTGGTCTGCGTGCTGCCGCAGCGTCTCGTTGATCTAATGGGTCCGTTTCAGCTGACATCAGCGGAATACGTTCACTGTTTACGGTTCGCTATGACATCGGCGCAAACTCTTACTAAAGACAATTGCAAGGTCCATGACGTTACATATGTGTGACGCGGTGTTGTAAAACCCTGCATAAACACTACTGTAATCTCAAAAATTCGTCCGCTATTATTAGCCAACACCACTGTTTTGGATGAAAAAAAAGGAAGAAGTGTCGTAAGCGTCATTAACTAATGCGCACACTTTATCCATGTGCTCTCTCCGGTTACCAAGGAAACTGTGTGGGTATCTTGAATACAGTGCCAGTAGCGCATGCAACCCGCAAAGCACCACCCATCCCAAGCAAGACATCATCTTTGGCTAGATCATTTTCCAATACGTGCAACTGCCTCATAAAATACATTATAAGATATTAACGAGAGTTAACAGACAATTGCATCGAGCTGCTTGCGAAGAAACAACCGAGTATTTCTTCAATAATGCATACAGTTCTTTGGTATCATAAATAACAAGGGGCAATTAACAAGACATTCTCTTCATTACAGAAGGGATGATGGAATGCCTGTTGCAGTGTCACAGTTGTGTGGAAGTGTGTATGTGTTTGGCTGGGGCCTGGGGGTTAAAGTCAATGAAGCACCTAAGAAAGTGCTGACTATGACTCAGTTTTAGTACAGAAGCGCCTGCTTACTGCAATCCCAGTGCACCCCTGAGTATAGACTGTATATGTGAACAAACAAAAACACATACACACTCAGAAACACATTACTCAGATTTAAACACACAATTAAGTCCATGGTTTATTATTCACATATACTTTCTGTTAGCACTTGTATTAGGTTCTAGATATACAACCCAGTTATGCTCAGTGTCAAACTGACCCTTATTGGATTCAATAAAATTTACCAAAAAAAAAAAAAAATCTTTAATGCTTCTCACACAATACAAAGTAATCATGAGAACATATGATTTAACAATTTTTTTTTTTATAAACTGTGAATATTATAAACAGTTTTGTGAGTATTTTTTTTATCCCAGAATAAAAGTACATTTTAAAAAGGAGAAGTTTGCATTTTTCTGAAGATCAAACAGTGTTTGCAGTGCCAAGATCATAGGCTCAAATTACCAGCGGACTGAGTTTGAGCTGATAAAAATGTACACCTTCAATGCAGTGTCAGTTTCTCTGGATTTCAAGTGTCTGCCAAAAGCATAAATGTAAATGTATAAATACTCTTAGAGTTGTAATTAAGAAACAAAATATGACATAACAAAATGTACATTAAAAATGTTGCAGCTGCATTTAGCAATGAAATATGCAGGTCAAATTGACCTGCAAACATTATAATTTTGTATGCACATTCCACAGCACAGCAAAGGCATGTTCATGACCCTAAATGAAAAAAGGTCACATTTCAAGAAAAATACCATAGGTTAACCGGTATTTCAAAAAAAAAAAAATTTTAAGTAAGTAGTGAATCTAACGTTAAAATTAGCAGGTGAAATCACTGACATTAAAATGCAAAACCCATGCTTTTACACCGTGTTACACACATTCATCTCCGCTAAACTATAATCTAACAGAGCACACCATGGCACTCACTCAAGAGAGAAAGAGAAACCGAGGGAGAAATAAAAAAGAGAAAGCAAGAGAGAGGGAGGCTGAGTGAAGACAGTGAGATAAATCAAAGTAATTAATCTCTTCAGAACACGACAGCAGATTAAAGGCGAGAGCATGCGAAGGAGGGTTTCAAATGAGAGAGATGAGGAAAATAAAGACTTATTTACTTCAGTGTTATCATGTGTTATATGATATCACATGAGAATAAAAAAACAGGAAAGATCTAAACATTATTAAAACAAGGTGATTTAAGGGAATGTTTTGTGAAAGCTGGAACCATATTAGTTAAGAAAGCTGAATACATGTGAGGTAATGATGAGAGTCTTGGAGTTTAAACAGTTTAAGACAATTATTTATTTATGTAAAATGGCATTTGACATATTATCAGATTATGAGGTAATCTTTCAAATGCCACATGCACTTTGTTTCATTAACATATTTTATGATGTCATCCTGCTGAGAGTGTAACCACTAGAGGGCAATAACTGTCCATTTTTATGTGTCCATTTTAACAAGCATTTGTTTAATTAATTCACTACAGCAGTGTATAGCAGTCTATAGTATTTATACCTCTGTTCATTTCTGTAAAGAAAGTATACATTTAGTAGGATCATTCCAAAAATTATGAATAAATAAGCAAAGGCAAAGCACTTTCTCACCCCTAATCAGACTCAGAGAGAGCCCTCTGTTTGTTTTGCTTTCACTATTCAGATGTATTTTGTTAGTGTTTTTGAAAGAGTGACCTTGACTAGGCATAAGACTTGAGGAATAAGATCATTTGCACTTGGACATCAATAGTAGTGAAGCAAAAAGGACATCATGGTGTGTTCAAACGGGGGCATTGCCCTTGAGCAGTGCACTTAACCCGCTGTTACTCCAGGGAGACTGTCTCTGCAATTAGTGTACTGTACATCCCTCTGGGTGACAAGTGTCTGCTGAATGGTGAATAACTGATAGCACTGTCTGAGAGACCATCATAAGATGGAAAATTTTAAAACCATTATAATTTTAAACTGCATTATGGTTGTTTGTATGTTACATGAATACGATGCACCATTAAAAAGGAGACTTAGATGACACAACTGTGTTTCTATAGGGAGTGATGCAAAATGATTCATTATGTCTGAAGGTAAGAGTTACCCCAGCATTTTTAGTTAATTTTAACATGCAAATATGTGTTTTGGCAAATAAGGTGCCTGGACTTGCATTGAATCAAACATGTTTGAAGCGGTACGTGTGTGGGGGGATTACAGAGACTTAGACTTGAGTATGTCATGGGAATGTCAGAAGGAATTCATTTGCAGACAAAAGCTTCAAGCTGACTTTAATGTACGACAAGTGCAGGTAACCGCTTTCACAGGCTTGATAAGCTGACCTCTGCTCCCACTTGTCTTTGAAAGACATACAGAAGGTTCTAGGTATTTTTACAGGTCCAGTTTAGGTTTAGTGAATGCATGCAGTTCCAGAATTCACATTTGTTTGAATTTTAGTCATTTTCTTTTCTTTTTTTCTTCTTCCTTTTTTCGTATTTACGTTATCAGTAATGTGCATTGCAGTGTTTATTTTAATAGCTTAAAAAGGTTGGTACATAAACACATGTAATTTCATGACATATAGCCTATTGCACAATTAAGAACAGTATTTTTTTCCAATGTGGAAACAGCTAATTTCTCCCCAAATACATTTTCCTTTTATGATTAAGGTTATGGTTCTCTGTGAACCTTTACATAAGAAAAAAAAAAAAAATAGAATTAGTACAACTGAATTTTGATCTGCCATGCTCACACATCCGACATGCAACCACACGCATAGACACAGCGCGAGTGCGCTCACGCTCTCATCTGTGTATGTGTGTGTAGACTGATCCGTTGCGTTAGAAAATGAGCAAAGACTCGCCGACATTTCCGTCGACGCTCCATAAAATCACTTGCCCAATATTCTTCCCTCTAATAAATTTCTAGGCTGCCTGTCCCTTTAAACGAGTAATTTTTTTCTTTAATCCTGAATTGATGGCTTAAATGCGGAGACAGATAGAGAACAGAGGGTGCGCTTTATTTATCAGCGTCTAGATTTTTTTTTTTTTTTTTGTCGCCCTCAAAGTTCATTTTTAGATGACGGGAAATAAATGAACGCTTCTGATTTTTTAAACCAACTGAATACAACTCATTTGATTCAGAATGAAACGCCTTTAGGAGGTGACTGACAGCATCTAGGTCCAGGACTGCACAACTGGAAAACTTAACGCATTCATAGAAAAAGCTCATTTTGGAAATATGCCTAAAAAATGTGAGTGAAGGAAGTCGTGAGGATCATGCATTCTGCTCCAATGAGGTCAAAGTGACAATCCGACATGTATGAGGAGAACCGAAAAAGTAAGTTTTATTTGATCATTTAATGCATATATTTTGGTTTAGTTTTTATATATTCACACACGTTGTGTAGCCGCCGTTTAAGTTGTCAAATATCAGCTTATTTTACAAGTCGCTGCGTAAACTTGTGTCCGTGTCTATATGAAACAGTCATTTTATTTCAGTTTAAATTGTGTTGTTGAACTACTCTTCAACATTAAAGACTTTGGTGTATGAAGATACACCAAACATGAAAAGAAAACACCTGACATGCCGCAAAAACAATGTTAACTAAATAACAGAAAATAATATAAAACACCCAATGAACATAACTTAACAAAAATAATAAGAAAATCACTTTTTTTTTAATAAAATGCAACATTGATATCATGGTTTAAACTGGGATTTTGGGAATACCTCTTCTTAATTTTAAACAGTATGTTAACTTTTGGATAGGTTACTTAAAAACTGAATTTTAATAGCAATTTGCTGTAAAATTGTATTATTTCACAATACATTTACATTTACACGCACACACACACACACACACACACACACACACATATATATATATATATATATATATATTATACATGTTAATTATAATGAAATTATAACGAAAGATGAAAGTTTTGAGCCTTGAGCTCTGTTGAGATCAAATTATGAATTTGAAAACACCTGACATGCCGCAAAAACAAACGTTAACTAAATAACAGAAAATAATATAAAACACCCAATGAACATAACAAAAATAATAAGAAAATCACTTTTTTTTTTAATAAAATGCAACATTGATATCATGGTTTAAACTGGGATTTTGGGAATACCTCTTCTTAATTTTAAACAGTATGTTAACTTTTGGATAGGTTACTTAAAAACTGAATTTTAATAGCAATTTGCTGTAAAATTGTATTATTTCACAATACATTTACATTTACACGCACACACACACACACACACACACACACACACATATATATATATATATATATATATACAATATAT